GTGGAACCTTTATCAATAATTGCATGCGACTAAATATTCAATCACAAGACCAGAACATCCTATGACTTGAATGTTTTGGTTTGTTATGGAGGGGATGTGAAAGTTTCAATTTCTCAACCTTCATTACTTGGTATGGTAATGTCTGAGGATAAGAGAGAATAATGCCTCATAATAAATTTTCTAGCATAGGAAAACTGGGGCAATTTTGGTCTTTGAGGTCATTCTTCAACGTCTGGATTAACCATCAATGGTACCAATGACAATTGAAGACTAGCTAATATTGAAACAACAAAATAACCCTTGCAAAAGTCGATGTAATAATTGAACACTTCTTTAATTAGCGAAGTTTGAAAACAGCAATCACATTACTATATAGCTCATGGTGAATACTTTTTACAATAGATACTAATTGTTCAATAAATGTTAATAAGAAGTGTCACATCTGTATAATGCTTTCCTTGATTAAACTCCCACATGTTTGAACAAGGTAACCATTATTTGGTAGAATCACAACCAGTGTGAGTGAAGATAATTATTGTTATATGCAGACGTCATGCTTTGGGCATGTCAGTGTGAAATTGGTACCAGACATCAGCTGTGATGTTGATACATGAATAGTTTTGAAGTTGTTGGCCCAGGTGAAATTGTGACATCTACAAGAGGGTGAGGTAAACAATTGCTCCGTTAATTAAGTATAGTCAACATGATTGATTCAACATCTTTGGAAATTGTCTGAAGGATCAATTCAGGTAACCCTGAATTTTTGGGTTTTTTACTTTTGCGGTGGATGTGCAAGGGTGTGAATATGAAAGATTTAGTGAAAGTGAGTGTTTTCTGATTTTTAGACTGATAGCTTGAGTCAGGCAGAGGCTAATATGATTGATTACTTGTATGTGTGTACTTTACCAGTCCAGGAATACCTGGATAGGAAGTTTGTCAGGTGACATATATTTGATGGTTGTTCAACATATTGGTAAACAAGGATCCTGGTTAGTCCCTATTTGAAGCAGAACTTACTATACATTCTCACAATTCAATTTTTAAAGAGGGCCTTAGCATAAGAGTTGTTCATGGCCAGGTATCACCCAGGATGAGAGTGGGTCAAGGAAAAGAATTATGTAGTAAAGCATCAAGTTGTGACATATAATTCTTTTGTTTATTGGATTAAGTTACTGAACAGATGTTTCAGCTCAATTGTAGTATGTTTTGGGACATTACAGGGATATTTGCAATCGAAGTTTTTTAACTGCCCACATGGAGTTTTTGTCCAAATTGTTTACCTCTTCTTCAAATTATTTAACACATCTTCTACATTAACTTGCAAACAATTGTATGTCTCATAAAACATACCCTTGTTATTTTATGTTTTCCCAAAATGTCAAACTTTGCCCTACCCAAATGGTTTGAGGTGTTAGGCATCTTTGTGTAACTCATACAAGATTCTGATTCGGTCCAACAGGTGGAATTGTATATGGGAATAGAAACCATTACATTAGAAAACGTAGCAATGCTAGGCGGATTTTGATATACGTAGAACAAGCCTTTGTTAAATTTAGGTCATTATTGACATAGTTAAATCCTGGATTCGAGGTTCCCATGCAGGAAATTTTATGGGTGGCTTTACAGGATTTTTATCCCTGTTACACTATGCTGGTTGTGTCCTACCAAAACCATTGATATAAGCAAGTTGGTAATTGAGGATATGCACAAACGTCCGGGAGAACTTATCAAACATTATTTTAAAATTCAGAAAGCCCAGGACAATGGCTTGAACATTTCAATAGATTTTCAGATTAAAATTATAAGAAATCACTAGCAACATTATCTTGCCTGACATCTATATTCCGTGATGTAAGGTTTTATTCCCTACCCTATGACACCAAACAAAAGTTGTGAAGTTATGTGTTTAAAGTATTGATATTACCAAGTTGGACATTGAGGATATGGAACAACATCAGGGAGAACTGATCAATCATCATTTTCAAATGCAGAGCTCCCAGGACCATGGCTTGTGAGTGTAAAAGAGTTTCAAATCAAACTCTGAGGAAATCAACAGTATCTTGCCTGAAATCCAGCTTGCAAAAGAATTACTTGCATGTGATTTGAATGGGTTGTACAAGTACAATGCACAGAACCACAGAGCTGACATCAGAAACCAATATTCTGGTATGTAAGTTTTTATTGCTCTACCCTACCACATCAAAAAATTGAGCAGTCATTTGTTTTATAGTCTATCAGTCACCAGATTACACCGCGGGAATGATTAAGTTCAAAACCCGATTGAGCAAAGTTGCGGTGTCTGAGTCCACAACTTTGTTCAATCGACAATCTGGTTCACATCTGGTTCACACCTCGTTGACAGGTTTCCCTTGAGTTGTACTCTCCCTTGTACGCAATCAAAATTCAATTTGTCCATACCAAGCTCCTTTCTTTGTTGATCAATCATCTGGATCACAACCAAAGGTCATATTTTCCATCACACCATCCACCAATTCCCTGTCTGTATCTCAAAAGGCCCATCAACTTCGTTGTGGTTTAGCATCAGCAATGAGCGACCTAAAGAACAGTGTTGGGACAATGCTTCTTGCAGCGTGACAAAAGCACTGTAATGAAACCTGGAAAGTAAGACCAGAATACATAATAGCAAGGACAATGCCAGATGACTTGCAAGGGATTCTATGTATGTACTACATATGACCATGTGTCGAGAATAGAATGAGATTGGTGTAGCAGAGGATAGCTCAAGGGAAACATGTGAACAAGATGTGAACAAAATCCGTGAATGAGCAAAGTTGCGGACTCGGACACCGCAACTTCACTCAATTGGGTTTTGAACTTAATCATAACCGCGGTGAATTAGAAAGCTTCATTTGCCTTGCAGATTTCTCTTCACATGAACCTTACATTACTGAGGCACTGGAACATTCAATAGAGGAGGGTGTCAACAAAGATGATTTTTTTTTGAGTATGTGCTATGTTTCTTCACAGATATTGAAGCCGGGTTCCTATGCTTTCCTAATATGGTCCATATGGTTTACATAGGGACATCAAGAATAAAACTGGATTTCATGTGGGATCTCATGTGGCAACTTTCAAAAGTAGAGAAATATTGTTAATGGTTGGGTTGCACTTGGGTGTGATTTTCCTGGTGTGGAGATCACTGTGTTTGAGTTAAACAAATTCTGTATTTGTTCTTTCCATGTTTCCATTGGCCTCATTAATATGGCAATTTAGGTGCCTAGAGAGGAAGTTTTGGAAATGCATGATGATAAGAACTTGATACATTGTATAAGCAATACAGAGTATACAGTGATGAGAGGAGGAACCAGGTTGAGTCATTATTCATTGTTAAGTACAATAATTGGATACGATTGTAGCATAGTTTCCCTGGTTGCGGGCATGCCCGCATAGGCTCTAGTGACTACAAAAGATACAATAGCGGAAGAATCAGCAGATAGTTTGGGTACAACCTAGGAAGCTCAGAGGTATAAGGATGCATGATTGCACATTAGCTTAACTTTGTTTTTGAAAATTTGATGATATAAATGATATTTGATATCTGAGAAAGAATTATACAATAATCTTCACATGAAAATTGTCTGACAGGTAAGATTCTGTTTGCAGCTAACAGTGGAAACAGCTAGATTTGCACTGCTGAGATAAGCCATTGAGGATGTTTAACAGATTAGACAAAAGTAAGAATTATAGATACCGGTAATCATATAACTACTGAGCAGTTATTCACGTTGATGGGACAATTGCTGAGAGTGGTGAGGCCTACGAGGTACAATGTGAAAAACCAATCACATCAAGGTTGTAACAATTTACCCAAAGAGCTTTGATTTGATTGTGAGATTCAAGTAGGGTCGGATGCCAATTCGGATCTGACTTGAATGTTGAGATTTGATCGATTAATAGCAATGTATTATTGTCTGATTGTTTGCATCTGGGTAAGTTGTGGCACGCAATAAGCAAATCGAATGTGATTATTGCGAGGCCAAAACTTTGGCTGGTTGAAACTTGAATCTCTTCTACTTAAAATTGGACGATTGGTGGATTTTGTTTGAATTTGTCAATTTTGTATGAATTGCTGTTTCGCCTTTAACATGAATTAATGTTCATGTTGTGGAATTGATTGATTTTGTGAGCTCAGGAGAATATGAGGATTTTATTGGAGAAATATTGATGGAAATTCAGAAGGAAAGTTCTAATTCAAAATTTGTAGAAGAAGAAATTGAAATCAAGTTAGCAGCTGGAGCACAAACTGATCATTCAAATATTGAGATTATTGATGTGGAAACTCAAATTCAATTACATTATAAAATAAAGAAGAAGGTATGATTCAGTGGTATCGTAGAAGTGATTGATTCTGTGGAATTAGATGAGGAGAAAATGAAAGAAAATGATGGAAATATTGTTGAAGAGATGTTGATTCAAGCTCAGAAAGATGATGTTAAAAATCAAATTCAAGAAGATCTTAAAATAAAGAAGAGAGTGATGTTCAATGATTGCTAGTACCCGTATGAGGCACCAAGGAGGTTACAATACGTCCATGGCTGTACTAAGTCAGGTAGGATCCCGGGCTAGGACTGACTGTTACGCTTGGATCACATGATCAGCTTACGTGACCAAATCATTACCGCCTCAATCCGACATTTGATTAGACAAGCAAGCAGGGCGTAGACAGTCAGGACCTGGAGTCTGTGATGTATATCATAAAGAGTCAAAGGTTATGCATTTCCCTTTCTCCCCTTTTGATCACTCCAGACTTTTGTATCCCTCACTAGGATACCTTACCCGGTTCCCCTTTTTCTTTCTCTGGCTTGTTATTCTCCCATTTTTTCTTTTATCAAGATTCAATAACTAATCAATACGGTAAAGAATAGATTCATTTAATAATTTCTATTGATTTTTCTAAATTCTTCAAAAATTTAAAAAATCTTTCATTGTTTTCAAATCATAAACTCTTTGATTGTTTGTTTTTTCATTATATAACCAATATGACCAAACGCTCAAGTAGAAAGAAGGCCAATGCAAGTGGAGATAAAGAGACAGAAAATAGTTCAGTTTTGAACATAACAACAACATCAGGGGAATCTTCAAAAGTCCCAGGTAGTAATCAAAGTGGCCAAGGGAACCCCAAGAATTCCGGCTTAGATAAAGACCAAGGAGATTTGGATAAATCCAAGAATCTCGGTCCAAACTCATCAACTCAAGGCCAAGGAGATCTAGACACATCTAAAAATCTTGGTCCAAATACTAAAGAAGTTGGAAGTCAAGAAAATGTTAATAATATTAACAATTCTGAATTAATAAGTAAGATATGTTCTAACATCACAATTCTGATTGTTTACATAACACTAATTTAGTTTTTACATTTGTTTATCTTGTTTTTCCCTGTTTTTAGGAAGTCCAGATAAAGATAAAAGCAATAAAGATAAAGTAGGAGGAAATCCTATCATATCAGAAGATTTAGCTGGTAAGTTGTAAGAACTACAAATATTGATTAGTGACAAACTAATAGAATAACCAATGTTTGGAATTCGTATATAGATGAGTTAGAATCACATAACTTGAACGATATGATCAACGCAAACTTGTTAGACATAAACAATGCTTTTAAACAAGTTCCAATCATGAAAAGTAAGATACTTTGATGTAAAGAAATATTTATATATTTGTCACTAATGTTGAATTTAAATTATGGAACCTTTTTCCTATTTGGATACACCCAAAAAGGCGAAACCAAAGTCAGTTTCGGTAGAAAGAAGCGTTAGTGAAAATCAAATAACGAACAAGGTTTATTTAGATACTTTAAGAAGTGGACCAAAAAGTTTACAAAGTAAGTAAAAAGATAATGATTGGAAAGTAACATACAAATGAATCATTAACAAAGATTATGATTGTGGACAATTGTGCGATTATCGAATAAAACAAAGAATTTGATGTCAACATTGATTTAACAGACAAGAATTCAGTATTTCAAAAAGCAATGGAATTGACCATGAAAGGTGATAGTTACGGTGCAGCAAAGTATTTAAAGGTGTACAAAGCTTTGGGACATCTAGGTGTTGATATCCAAAGACCTTTGACAAAGAGAGCTACCTCAGCGAATCCTGTCCTTAATGAAAATCAAGTTGAAGCTAGAACAGATGGCGGAATCTTTGAGAATGGAATGTGGTTCTTCCCTGATAGAACGACTGATTACAAGACTAGAAGTTATACACCCTATTTCAATAGAAATATCAAAGAGTGAAGATACCCAATCCCCTTAACTATATTTCACAAAGACTGGCAGAACAAGGCAATGGGGTATCACGCGAAGAAGAAATTAAAGTCAATAGAAGGTGAATTGAAAGATTTGTATACAGGCTTACCATACGCAGATGAATGGCTTTTAGAGTATGGAGAATGGAGTATTCATTATGACGGTTATATAACCGCCCTTAGAAACGTAGGTTTCACTAGATTTTTTGATTGGTCTTTGGCTCATAAAGGAAATGTTGAAAGAGTGATGTCAGAGATGGGTTGGTTAACTGCATTGAAGTATGGCATAAGAGTAAGGGAAGAAGCCTTAGTGAATCGGCAAGAGATCAACGGATTTGTAGCACCTCCGAACATTTCATTATATAACCCAATTCTGGGAGAAGAATGCTACCAAGCAACAGGGAACAGAAGTATGTGGTCTCTAAATGTTCTAGAAATAATTATAACTATACTGATCAGGAAAATTCTTATCTTCGTTTTGGGAAATAGTTTTAATCGTTCTAGATGAAACTTTGTTTGTCACAAATCCATATTTGGAAGGTGGAGAAAGATATGGCTGGGATCCGGAAACTGGGAAACCGCCAAAGAAGACAGAGAAGACGAGTCAATTTCATAACAAGAATCAATATCAGAATAAGTCATACCAGAAATGGAATAACCATCAAACTACAAGCGGAAGTGGTTCGAGTGGAGGAAATGGTTCTGGTGTTTCTGGTGGAGGAAACAATTATGGTGGATCTGGTGAAGGATCAACTATGGTAGGTAGACCTTTTGAAAAGAAGAACTGCCAATGTGGTTACTTTGGTAACAATTTTGACGAGAATTATAAAGAGAAGAAAGCAATGGAAGCAGCTAAGAATAAGCAACCTGAGAAGTAGGTTTGATTCTATGCTTCCCTTTCCTATTATCAAATAGAGCGTTTCAATTTTCCAAATTACAATAATTCTCGTCAGTTGTAATTATAGAACAATTGTGAAGATGTCATGTTATTAATGTTTTTGTAAATTTGTATCCAATTCATAACTTGTTAGAGACCTTATGAGAACGAAATCAGAAATAATTTGAATGTTACATGATGATAAACCAAGAAATGAAACAGAAGAATTGCCAAGTGATTGGCCGACAGAAATAAGATGTGAGATGAACATAGAGAATTGGAAATGTGCATTAACCAAACATGGATTGTTGCAGGAGTATGAAGACGTAATAAAAGGATTTATTCATGGTTTTGATCAAGGGATTCCAGAGCACGAATTATCACCTCCGAATTCACATTATTTCACTCCAGATAATCATACGTTGTCAAATCTAGCATCAGGAAAGATAATAGAGTCAATGAAGAAAGAAGTAAATGCGAAAAGAATGTATGGTCCTTTTTCACACTCACAAATATCAAAAAATTTTAAGTTCTTTTGGTTGAGCCCTCTGGGAGCGGTGATAAACGGAGATGGGTCATGAAGACCCATAAATGACTTGTCTTTTCCTCGTAATGATCCGTCATTACCTTCAGTAAATTCGTTTGTAAAGGCAGAAGATTTTAAAACTACGTGGGATGACTTTAATGCTGTAGCATCTTTCCTCAAGACGTCTGAAGATCTGTGGTTATTAGGCTTATTCAACTGGGAAAAAGCCTATTGGCAAATTCCAACGATGATGGATCAATGGAAGTACTTATTGATAAAAGATTTTGATGGAAACCTGATGCTCGATACTAGGATCACGTTTGGAGGTGTAGCTGGATGTGGGTCTTTCGGACGACCAGGGGATGCCTGGAAACACATCATGATGCAAGAATATGACTTGATTACAATCTTTAGATGGGTGGATGATAATTTGTTCATCAAAATTTCAGGTTCAAGCATGGAGATGAAGGAGATAGCTTCAAGATTGCAACAATTAGGTTTCTTGACAAATATAGAAAAATTGTCAAAATTTGGCCTTGAACAGAAATTTATAGGCCTTATTTGGAATGGGTCAAACAAGACTGTATGATTACCAGAGAATAAATCATTACAAAGGAAAGAACAAATTAAAGAATATCTGGTTCCGAACGTCGATATAACTTATGATAAAATAGAGATTTTTATAGGAAGGTTAAATCATGTTACGTATATCTTGCCACAGTTGCGATGTTACCTGAATAGTCTACGTAGAATGAAATCCGAATGGGTTAACAAGTTTTCTTTATGGAAAATGAATTCAGACGTTTTGGAAGATTTGAATTTTTGGATGGAAACGCTAAATAGCTTCAAGAACATGAGATACATAACATCGGGGAAACCTAAAGAGATTATGTGGGTAGGAGTTGCATCAACATCCTTCGGGATAGGTGTGTTAGTAGGCAAGAAGTGGTGTCAGTTCAAAATTACGGAATGCGAGACGTTCCAAAGTGACAATGCGAAATTTCAAAAATCAAAAATCACAATTCCCGGGTGCAAAATTCAAAAATCAAAGACAAAACTACAGAAAATACTCAAATACAGGGATAAAACCCCTGTACTGGGGTAAAAGTCATGGCAGAAACCCCTTTTTGCCCAAATTTCCAGTGGTCGACACCGTTTTCATTGCATTGTCACCTTTCGACAAAAAGTACCAGCAACACCAAAAACCAAAAAATCAAAAAACCAAAAATCAAAAACCAAAAACCAAAAAATACATTTCTCAAACTGTACAATTCAAACACCAATGTTAGATTCTACTGCAGCCAAAAACCACATTTTGGCCAACTAGCTACAAGCTCGGTCTCACAGGTATCAACACCTCCGACCAGAGACATTCTACCATCTGTCTCAAGAGCTTCAAAGTACCTGCTTCCTGTTTCGCTCTCCTCCAAAACCTCTTTCATCATCATCAATCCTCTTTGATTGTCTTTGATCTTGCTCAATCTTTGTCAACCGTCCTCGGTCTTCCTCAATCTTTGTCAACCGTCCTCGATCTTCCTCAATCTTTGTCAACCATCCTTGATCTTCTTCAATCTTTGTCATCCATCCTTGATCTTCTTCTTTCTTTGTCAACCATCCTTGATCTTCTAGTTTTGTTGTCAACCATCCTCAATCTTCTTCTTTGTTTGTATTCTTTGTCCACCGTCCTTAATCTTCTTTGACTGTCCTCAATCTTCTGCAATCCTCATCAAATCATTTATGTTGGATTTGAGAGTCCATACCGAATTCCTGAATAAATCTTTGGTAATGTTGCTGATATACTTGTTTGAATTGGGGATGTATATCCAATAAAATGGTCTCATGGTATATTGGAGGTAAATCTTGTAGGTGGCTTGCTTTTGTCCGCCTCAGCATAAAATATCTTAGTAGCTGTCTGAGTGTGTCCAGAATTCCTTGAAAATTTGATGATTGAGACTCTTGATTTGCTTTCAAAAGTCAAAGACTGGTAAACAGTTTGTCTTAGGTTATGATGTACATTCACGTCCTTGTTTACACATGTACCCTTATCGTCAATTTAGTCAATCTTTCACTACACAAAATATAATATTTTCTGGGCAGAAAATTAAATTATTGATACACAAAAATATTGAGAGGCCAGGAGAAGGGCAAAAAATAAATAAAAATATGCATCTTGTTCCCTGCGGTGAGAGCTTCACTCTCCACATTTTTCCATATTTATACCGTCCGTAATGATAAGTGTACTATCAATAAACCTTC